GCAGTGACAAGGCTGTGCTGGACGGAAGCAAGGCCATTCGCGGCGGCATCCCACTGGTGTTCCCCAACTTTGGCGCGTGGGAGTGCGGCCCATCGCATGGCTTTGGGCGCATCTCCACCTGGACATGGGACAAGGACGCTGCCGGCGCTGGTGACTCCGAGGATGGCACCACCGCCGTCTTTGTGCTGGAAGACAACGAGCAAACTCGCGCCATGTGGAACCACAAGTTCCGCCTCGAGTACACGGTCACCCTTCGCAAAGCACAGCTCGAATGCAACCTGAAGGTGCGTGTGTCTGTGTCTGTGTCTGTGTCTGCATGTGTGTCTGTGCGTCTGCATGTGTGTCTGTGTCTATGCGTGTGTCCGTGTCTGTGTCTGCATCTATGCGTGTGTGTCTGTGTCTGTATCTGTGTCCATGCATGCGTGTCTGTGTATGTGCTTGTGCGTGTGTGTGTCACTGTGTGTTCCGGATTCTTGCTACACGGCTGTGCTGAACACACCTTGGCTGCCAAGGATGCACACGCGCTTCATCCGCTCACACGCGTGCATAATCCCCCCTCCCAACACCCAATGCGGCCACGCATTGCATGCATGCATGGTTCTCCGCCCACAGATCCACAACACGTCAGATGAGAGCTTTGACTTCACGACGCTGCTGCACACGTATGTGCGGGTGCCGTCCATCAAGGCCGTTACCATCAGCCCGCTGAAGGGCTCGCTCAAGCTGGACCAGCTGGCAGACCGGGCATCTGTGGTGGAGGATCAAGAACCGCTCACCATTGCGCAGAATGTGGACAGCATCTACGTTGCCGTGCCGCAGTCGCTTGTGATTGACAACGTGGCGACGTCACGCGCTCCGACGCCCGACGATCACTCCACCGCCCTCACCCGGCGCAAACTCACCCTGGACAAAGCAAACCTCCCAGACACAGGTGCGCCCTCTTTGTGTGTGTGTGTGTGTGTGTGTGTGTGTGTGTGTGTGTGTGTGTGTGTGTGTGTGTGTGTGTGTGTGTGTGTGTGTGTGTGTGTGTGTGGGTGGGTGGGTGTGGGTGTGGGTGTGGGTGTGTGTGTGTGTGTGGGTGGGTGTGTGTGGGTGGGTGTGTGTGGGTGGGTGTGTGTGTGTGTGCGCGCGCGCGAGTGTGTGTGTGTGTGTGTGCGCGTTGTCTGTGTGTGCGTTTGTGGGTTTGCATATTTCTTGTGCGTGTGTGTGCGTGTGTGCGTAATTGCGCCAATGCTGTCATTACGTGCGTATGCTGCCGTTGGAACGTTATGGTTACCTCCTCCCTCCTGTGCTGCTTCAAGACCCCTCCTCACATCCCCTCCCCCGCCACGTTGGTGTGCGCGCGTGTGTACAGTGGTGTGGAACCCGTGGGTGGAGAAGACCAAGGCCATGGGTGATCTTGATGACAGCGCGTACAAGCAGTTTGTGTGTGTGGAGGCGGGACACGTTGCCGAGAAGCACACCCTCGCACCGGGGCAGCACTTCCACGGCGGGCAGACACTCACGCTCGAGGCATACAGGTGATGATGGTGATGATGATGATGATGATGATGATGATGAGTGATGATGATGGCGATGATGATGATGATGATGATGATGATGATGATGATGATGATGATGATGATGGCGATGGTAATCGGTGGTGGCGGTGATGTTGGGTGCGCGTGTTGTGTTGAGCATTAACTGCGCTGGTGTATTCGCTTGTAACGAGCCCGCAATCCCCCAACATTAAACAAACAAACACAACACAACACAACACAGCACAACACAACAAACAAACAATAACAAAAAAACAAGAGGTTTTTGATGATGATTATGATGATGATGATGGCGTTGGTGTTGTGATGGACATGATCTGGTAGCCGCTCCAGCCAAGGAGGATCTTGCGAACCTCCGTGAACCCAATCCACGCTTTGGGCCGCTGTCCTTTCCTGCAGCGGTCCCACGCAGAGCAACGAGAAAACAAATTGAAGGGAAGAGGGAGGGGGGCAAAGGAGCGTGGGTTGAGCGCAGCGTACAAACAGAAGTAGCGTGCGTGATGGTGGGAAGCAACAGACCGGAAATATCGTTTACACGAAGGACAATAAACAGAGTCTTTTACACCAAACAAGGCACACACACACACACACACACACACACACACACACACACACACACACATACGCGGGCATACGCAGCACCATACACAATCGGGTACGCAATACAACACGCGTGTACCTTGCAGTGAGAATTTCCCGGACGATGCCGGTATCGTCCTCCCATTCGCGCATCGCATACACGAGTGCATAGTGGTTCGTCAGATGGAAGAGCAGCACTGGTGATGGCGTGGTGATGGAGGGGTGGAGAAGTGTGAATTGGTCACGTGTGAACGAAAGGATCGATGTCTTTGTTCTCACGTACAGACGCAAGTGCAGACACACACACGTACACACGCAAGTGCACACACACACACACACACACGTGCACATACACGCACACACACACACACACAAGATCACACGCACACACACGCACACAATCACACACACCCATACACATTCACAAAAGCACAGAATGCACGCACACATCCACGTAGACAAGCACAAGCACCACCGACCTGTGTTTGATCTGTTGAACTCCGAGAAGAGGGCACGCCACTGGTCCTCAATCTTCCGCGCATCATCGCGGGTGAGCAGTTTGTGCTGCACCCGCGATCCTTTCATCGCCTTGCCCATGAACGGCCGGCACTCAAGCACCGTCTGGTGCGTTGGTTGTGTGTATTATGTGAGAGAAGATGATGAGCAAGAGTGACACACACACACACACACACATACACACACACACACACACACACACACGCACGCACGCACGCACGCACAATCACACACACGCACCCCTCCCATCCAACTCACATCGTATTGTGAAGAGACGGCCTTGCATGCAGACGTGATGCCCCAGTTCCCAAAGTACGCTGTGCTCGGTCGCTCCTTGGTCAGCTTTGCCATACCAATCACCGCATTCACATACGCCATCAGCGCCTTCTTCCACTTGGGACTCACAGGCGTTACTGCTAGCTCCTGTGGTGTGGGTTGTGTTGTGTTGTGTTGTGTTGCGTTGTGTTGTGTGTGTGGGTTGTGTTGTGTTGTGTTGTGTTGTGCGTGTGTGCGTATGAATGTCCGTGAGTTTGTGCCCGTGTGCATGTATGCATGCACACCTCTGTGTTTGTGTGTTCACAACACACACGCAGATATGAAAGGCCCGGGCATACAAGACGATACAGCAGTTCCATCCCAAACAAATAACACACACACACATACAAACACATTCCCTCCCCGACATCACTCACTTCGAGCTCCTCGTTGTGCTGTGCAGTTCCGCCAGTCGACGTTGTTGCTGTGGTGCTGGCAACGTTGTCGCCCTTTTGCTTCTCACCATCACCACTGCCCTCCTTCTCCTTCTGATCGCCATCATCACCACCCGATTCTTTCGACACGTCTACACACGCTGTCACACGTGACCCGACTGTGGGCGCATCTTGCTTCTGCTGCTTTTGGGCCGTCGTGACAACCACGTCGACATCATCATCGTCCTCGTCTTCATCGTGATCATCACCACCATCATCGTCATCACCTCCATCGATATCCCCACCACCAATGCCGCCCTGGCTCCCGTCCTTGTCACCACTCCCATCTCTGGCCGGTGCGTGCCGCCCATACACAGTGCGCAGCTGAGCAAACACGCGCTCCGTGTTGCTGACGTCGTCATCAACCAGCTCCCGGATGTGCTGCCACAGTATCTTCTTCTTCTTGCCCTACGGTGCCATGGGCGGGTGTGTGTAAGAGAGGGAGAGAGGGAGAGAGACAGACAGACAGAAAGACAGACAGACAGACACAGAGAGAGAGAGTGTGTGTGTGTGTGAGTGGGTTTTGTGTGTGATGACACGATGAGCGACAGTACAAGGTGCATAGCACGTCCACACAAAAGCACACACACACACACACACACACACACTTTTGGGAACTTGGTGGCAAAGGACTGGTCGTTTTCTGCCAGTTTCAGCTTGAGCTTTTCCACGAGATCAGATGGGTCCGCGCCAAGCGCGAATGAGCATCTGCATCATGCGGAGGAGAATAGGTGGGGTTGCGTGGTGCCTTCAGCGTTTCGTCCACAGGCGACCAGGGCACGCACATGCACACACACATGCATACAGAGCATGCAAAGCACAAACACGCCACATGCACACGCACGCACGCACACACGCACATGCAATCAAAGCATACACATATACAAAGCACACGCATTAAGCATACCCACCGGCGATGGTGCTTGATGACAATGCCGTCCAACACGTTGCGGAACTCCTCAAGGAGATCGTGTTGGGATAGCGCCTGCTCATCATCACGACGCCGACGCGAGAGTGCATTAAACGCGCCCGCCACAGATGCTGTGACCAGGACACCACCGCAGCAACAAAGCAAATCCAACGACAGTGTCACCACAAGCGAGCAAGTCACAAGCGAGCAAGTCACAAGCGAGCAAGTCAGGTGGCAACGGTTGATGAGTGGCTGAAAGTGCATACGTACACACATGTGCGTGCTGTTGCGGCACGGCACGTACGCAAACAACATTCAGAGCCGTTTCAACGACCACAATACGACTAACAACAGCGACAATACACACCAACGCATAAGTCACCGTGCTGTTGTTATTGTTCATGAGACACGGTTGGCCGAAGTGTTGTGACGCCATCCCTCACCTGCTGCACAGGCTGGACTGAACTGCTTCACCCAGGAATCGAAGAGCTGCCGGTTGTACGCGACACAGAGCCGCCGCTTGTCTGTGGGCATGCTGTCTCCATCGTACAGCAACGCGGTCAAGTCCACTTCTTCAGCAGCATCCGTATCGCGCTGCACAACCGCAACAAAAACAAAGTTGCACGAATGCGTCAGCACAAGCAGCGGCGACCTCACACACACACACACTCTCTCTCTCACTCTCTCTCTCTCGTTTCGTTTTGGTTCATACGCTTCATCATCAATGCAACTTGACACCTGACTCACTTCGTACGTGTACTTTTTGCTTGTCGTCGATCCGTCAGCCGCGGCCGTCGCTTCCATCCTTGCACTCGCCGTCACATCCTTGCGCTCGGCGCCTCCGTTGTTCATCTTTGTTGTCGTTGTCGCCGTTTCGTTGCCGCTCATTTTTCGAATCTCCCGGCCGTGAATAAACACCAAAAAATGCAGCGTCGTTCGCTCCTCCTGGAATTCAATGAAGATTTCATAAAACTTTCGGCAATCGACAACGCCACCGAACGCGGTAGCGTTGAGTGAACCTCTCGCATCATCGTCATCCCGCTCGCAACAAACAACAACCAACACCACCAACAACAGCTCTGCCACAACAAGAAAGAACAAGGCAAACCAACACAACACCTCCAGCGCCTGCTGCAACTGCTGCTGCATTCGAGTCCTGCATGGACGACAGGGGTGCGCAGCGGCCCTTGGCGCTTGGTAAGAACACACAAGAGAGACAAGCAGACACACAGAGAGGGAGAGATTGAGAGGGAGAGATTTCGCGCCAATTTCGCGTCGTTGGTGCGATCGTCGGCTTTGTGCTCTCTGTTTGCGTCGTTGCATTGCGGATTTGCGAAGCGACAGCAACAGCGGGGACAGCCTTTTCAGCAGCAGCCCCAACCACAGCATGGTGTCACCAATGGCGGTGACGTCAATCCAGTGTGTGTGTGTGTGTGTGTGTGTGTGTGTGTGTGTGTGTGTGTGTTTTGTGTGTGAAGCAGGTCACACAAGTTCGGTCAACACAGCAACAGCAACAACAACAGCGACAACAACAGCAACAATCCGCCACACACAAACAACACAGCACAACACACACAACACAACACGCACATGCACGCAACAGCCTTCTCCACAAACAACAACAACTGCAGCGCACAACACCATTCATTATTTCTCTGCGTTGCTTGCTTTTACCTCCTCCTCTCTGCTTTGTTGACTCACAATGCGGCACGCCAACAAACACCACCATCACACACACCACCACAAACACAAACACCATCGACTGCGTCATCGATGCCACACAACAGCGACTGATCGACATCGGCACCATCACCAAGATGTGCACCCTCACGACATGCACATGGGTGAGTCTGACAGCGGCAACGGGGATGTGTGTGTGCGTGTGTTTGAGCGTCTGCACTGAGTCTGTCCTGGATTCCATATCTGATGTTTGGACACAAACAGCATTATTGGTACACAAACAGCATTGACCAACAGTCACTCACTGTCACACACACTCACACACACACACACACGCACTGTCACACACACACCCACTGTCACTCACACGCACTGTCACACACACACACACACACTGTCACACACACACACACACACACACTGTCACACACCATCACATAAACACTCACTCACTCACTCATTCACACACTCTTGCATTCACATGTAGTGACATGCGAGTATTGCGGGGAGCGGTTTTATCCGGACCGCCTGATTGTGCACCACCGCGTATGTGGGCCAGATGCACCAAGACTCCCCACTGCAACTCGGCGCTCCCAGTCCAACAAACGCATGAAGGACATCACCGAACTCGTATCAGCAGCGCCTGCATCCAGTGCGCACGCGCGGCTGTTGAGGCCGAGCACAGATAGACAGCAGCTGTTGCAGCAGCAGTACCGCACCAACGGCAGAGCGCTCACTCGCCACAGTACCCCAACCTTCTTCACCGTCGCCAGCAGCTCGGACCACTGCACACATGGCCAATATGATGATATTGTTGATGATGACTATGACTACGATGATGGCGATGATGACGGTGATGCCGGTGTCGTTGAAGGGCTCGGTGCATATCATGATAATGGTGGCGATACCCGCTCTGGCAGCAGCGGCAATGTCGGTGCTGGTGTCGTTAGCAGTGGTGGCGGTGATGTCCATGGCGACGGTGACGTATTAGGCAGGTACAGTCTGCAAAACACACACGCGACCGAACCAAGAGAGTTGAGTGAACAGGGCCACGACACAGCAGAGGCGATGGTGTCGCCGCACCAGCATGACAGGCGTAGCTTGGGCTCCCGCGGGTCACACACCGGGGATCATCACCAGCGGCAGCGCAGAGAACACCGCCATAGCAGCGTCTCGCCACGAACCATGTCGGAACGCAGCACAAGCACGCCCGCGCTCTCTCGCCAGATCGCCATCCCACACACGCCGTACGTGCCGCACCAGCCACCTTCACCGCAGACCCACCGACCACGCGGAGACACGATGGTGATGATGATGAACACAGCGACGCGTCGAACGCCAAGCTTGCGCCGACAGCGCGGACACGCAGCAACTCCAGCAGCCAGTGAGGACGATTTTGGTCGCCTCAACATCACTCAAGACGCAGCCACCACCCACGGCCGCATTGGAGCAAAGCCAAGCACCGCGCCTGCACAGCATCCACAGCAACGAACACCGCCACCACTTCAGGGACCCCCGCCCTTACAACAACAGCACCGCCACCACCAGCACCACCATCAATCACCGTCACCGTCGAGTCGAAGCAGCTCCACCACCCACACGCGCCTGCTGCGCCAATCTACGCTGCTGGCAAGGTCTTCCTCCCACGGCAGCGGCGGGAACAACAACAACAACAACAACAACAACAACAACAACAACAACAACAACAACAGCAGCAGCAGCAGCAGCAGCAGCAGCAGAGATGACACAACTTCGCTGTCGACATCACTGGATACAGCCCAACTCCGCAACCACCGTGGCCAGCCCACCCGCGCCACCGACGCCACCAACACCAACACCGCAATCGCCCACGGTCACGGTGGTGAGCGCGCGCTCTCTGCATCGTTCACAACATCCTCGTTGCTGCTGTTGCGCCAAGACCAAACGCTCACTGCGCTGGCTGAAGACGCATTCATGCTGAATACACACGATGGTGCGCGCCGTCAGCCCTCATCAACACCACTGTCATCGCCAGCATCATCAACATCATCATCATTGGCGCCCACGGGAATGAAGGCACCAACGCCTTCTGCGCGTGCCAGTGTCAGCAGCAGTGGAAGTAGTGATAGCAAGGACAAGAGCAAGCACCCCATCAAAGCAAAGAACAAGACGCCTTCGCCCATTGCAGCCGCAGCCACAGCTGGTGGGAAACGCATGTGCTCCCCAGCAGAGCAGCGACCACCGCCACGTTTGTCGCTGTCCGGCGGGAAGAAACAGCGAGCCCGCAGCAGCTCAAACTTGCGTGACACGTGGTGTGACATGGTTGCGGCCCAGTCACTGACTACCTCCCCCTCCACACCTCCAACCCGCCACAGACACAACCAGCCGCCCGCGTCATCAACTACCATCGCCGCCCCTCCCTGCACAGCAACACCTCACACGCACGCGGACGTACACGCGTCCGTGCATGCTCGCGCCTCCATCTCACCAACAGCCATCGCCACGCCAGACACCCCGCCCCAACATCCCGGCACACGTGCACGTGCACACACGGGGGCACCAGCCATCCGCATACGCACGGTTGCGCTGGCGGACCTGGCTGTTGATGCCGCTGTTGGCGTCGTGCCCTTGCGCCGTGGACATGGTGGTGGTACTGATGATGGTGGTGATCGGAATGGCGATTGGGATGATGGTGGTGCTGATTATGATGATGGTAACAGTGCTGGTGGTGATCACGGTGGTACGTGTCGCAAAGCGGATGGGGTGGGCGTCGGCCCTCGTCACCAACAAGAACAAGCACCCGTGCGAGGGAGAGTCGCTATTCAACCACGGGCACGGCTTCGAAGTCACAGCGTTGGGCACGTACCACACTCTCCAAGCAACACAGCGCTCGCGGGTGATGTGATCAACGAAAGCGGCCGCAACAAGGGTGATGCCACTGCAAGCGGCGACGGAGCTACCAGTGATGGCTTCAACATGCCCGCCTCTCAACCAACACCACCGCAGGCACGCCCACCGCCATCATCTTCATCGTCAACGGCATTGAAGCGACGCAGCTTTCGCTCACACGCGCGCAGAAAACAACAGCAACAACATCACCACCAGCCTGATAATCACGAGACGCAACAGCAGATCGCAGCTCACACACGCGCGCAATCTACCGCCGACGCACAGTCTATGTCCCCACCAGCTGCTCCCGTGCCACGTGTATGCGTGGGTGTGGAGGACATGAGTGGCGACGATAATGAAGGGCAACACGCGCGTGACTCGCGCAGAGAAAGCGGCGGCAGTGGCATGATTAGCCGTTGCGACAGCAGCGTGAGCAGGGGCTTTCTGAGCGATGCGGATGGTGAACTGAAGAGCGAGGATGGGGAGATGAATCACGGTACCCCCCACAGTATTGGCAGCGGTCATGGTGGTGATGGTGGTGATGGTGGTGGTGGTGGTGGTGGTGGTGACCTGGTGCACTTGCGCAGCGAGATCAACCTTGGTGAGTCGCGTGACCACGAGCACCATCAGCACCACCACCACCAGCGTCACCACCACCACGAGCACCACCAACAGCGTGCTGTGTCGTTGATTAACAGCACACCCGAAGAGCAGCAACAGCAGCAACATCACGCGCCTTTGCACATACACACTGCGAGCACCCATTCCATCGCTACCACTGCCAGCATCACCGGCGTCAATAGCAACAGCACCACCAGCAGCAACACTAGCAGCATGCTGCACGTGCACCTCTCCCGCAGCAAGAGCGTGCGCACATTGCCCACGTACCGTGTGCCCACGCTCCACCGGTGCTTGACGACAGACCTGTCACATGCGCGGGGGATGCTGGGGCGACAACCGCACGCGCCGCTGCCACCAATCAAGCCGTCGTCACACCCACCACCCGACAGTGTTGCTGCGGACGATGATGATGACGATGGTGCTGACGGTGATGGTGGTGTGGACAGGCAGTGACACACGCGTCGAAGCAACAGCGTGATTTCACCCTTGCGCATTGAAAACTACGTGCGTCATTACTTGCCATGATCTTTCATCCACCCGAACACCTGCATGGTTCCTTGCCTGCAGGCATGTCACGTCACGTCGTCTTCTCTACTTGTTCATTCGTTGTATGTGTTCATGTGCATCTGATATTTTCCGGGCTATGGGCCCTCCGTGTGGGTGTGCGTACACCTGCGCGCGTGTTGTCCTATGTGTGATATTTGCACTTGTTGTCTGGGGTTGCTTTTTCCTCTATTTAATCACACCTTGTTGTCCCCTCTCCTCTCATTGCTTGAATGCTTGCCGTGTTATCCCTGATCGCTGTCTGCGCGCATCTGTTGTGGTGCGTGTCGCCTTTCATTTATTCTTGCCTTCGTATTTGCTTTCCTGCCGTGGCACACCTTGTATCAGACCCGTATCTGTGTTCGGGGGTTCATGTTTCTGTATGCACGTGCGATGTTGCTTCCACAGTCGTTTTATTTTCTTTCTGAAGAACCCATCCACACATCACACGCGTGTATGTACAGCAGTCACGTGCACTAGGCAGCAGGGCGGAGAATGGTGGTGGATGACGACACACACACACACACACACACACACACACACACATACGAATCCTAAGGTTTGCACAGGCATGTGTCAGACCTACGAAACACATACACTCAAGACACACACATACACAAACAAACAACCAACCAACCAAACAAACAAACAACCAAACAAACAAACAACCAAACAAACACAACGGAGAAGCATGTGAGCTAGATGAGGTTTGGCTTGTGGTCCTTCTTCTGCCAGCAAGCAGCACGAAGGGCCACGGCATCGCACACCGTGAAGTCACGTGATGGCAGCTGCTTGAACGCCTTTGCGCCGCTGTCGTAACGGAAGTAACGCGCCACCATGTCCCTGGTCACCGTGCGCGGGCCTGCGCCGTAAATCTTGGTGATGCCTGCAGGCACAACCGCATACACGCCGCGGAACTTGAGGTGCGTTGGCGTGCGTAGCACAATGACGAGGTGTGGAATGTCGCAGCTGTCAATGGCCCTGAGCGCAGCATCTCGCTTCTTCGCATTGATGTCGCCAGAACCAAGGCACGCCGGGGACTGGATGGCGTTTTTGCAAATCACCACGTTGCTTCGCAACTTCAGCACCTTCTCCGCTGCCGCTTGCTGCTTCTGCTGCTGCTGCTCTTGTGATGTGTTATCTTGCTGTCGGTCCTTCTGTTGAGGTGGTGCCTGTCGCTCCTTGTGATGCGAGGGTGCGTGCTTGCCAGCAGCATAGCCACTGCCATCTGCTGCACGTGTGTGCAATCGCTCGCCATTGCTGCCGCCCCGATCACGACGTGGAGGACTCACAGCTGCTGGCGGCTGCATCTCAACCACCCAGCTGCGACCAGCGCCACCACCTCGATCGCTATTGACATTGCCATTGTTGTGTCCATACCCACTCCCACTCCCACTCCCAGCGCCACTGCGATCACTGCGATCACTGCGTGCGTCTGCTTTCCGCTGTGCACTGCCCCTGCTCTCGTATTCGTACTCGCCCTCCATCTCCGCGCGAATCAGCTCGTCCGCCGCGTCCCACTCCTCCCGCGCACGTGCGTGATGCTGATGTTGATGTTGATGGTGGTGATAGCCATGACGGTATTGCTGCTGTTGCTGCTGCTGCTGCTGTTGGCGCTGTGCGTATTCACGCTGCCCGCGTGTGACCTCAGAGGCCGGGCGTGCATAGCCACCACGCTGCTGCTGCTGCTGCTGGTGCATGGGAGCAGATCGCTGCGGCGTGTGTGATTGGGGGCGGCGGCGGATTTTGGGTTGCTCCCCACGCCCCTCGCCAGTGTCGTAGGCAGGTGCAAATTCGCCTTCCTGCTGGGGACCATCGTGTCCATGCTGGCGCAGCGGAGGCGCTGCTGGTGCTGTGATACCGTCACCATCATTGCCCTCGCCACTCTCCTCCAGAATCATGGTCGATTGCAGCTGCTGCTGGCGGTGATGGTGGCGATGGTGATGACTCAAGCGTTGATGCTGCAACCCACCACCACCACCACCACCACCACCACGACCACCACTTCCGCTACCACCTTCCATCTCGTCGATACCGTCACCGTATTCATCATCACCATACCCCGCACCGCCACGCGTGTCATCACCACCATCATCACCACCCACTGCCGAGCGTGACTCGCGCCTCCTCATCTTCTGCGCAACCAATCTGTTCCGGTGCGACAAACGGCGCTGCCGTCGCTGCTCTGCCGCTCCACCACCACCATTCGTCGCATCGTCATCGGGGTGTGCACGTGCACGCGCGTGCGACGTTGCGTGTGCGTGGTCTTTGCTGGTGTCACTTGGTTCCTTGTTTCCATCACCAAAGCTGACAACAAAGGCCTCTGCTCGCCTTCCCTTGTCCCCACCATAAACACCGCTTTCATCGTGATGTCGGCGGGGTGAAACGTCAGCAGCTGGCAGGTCAGCAGCATCGTGGTGGTGGTGGGGCTGCTGCTGCTGCTGCTGCTGTTGTTGTTGTTGTTGTTGTTGTTGTTGTTGTTGTTGTTGTTGTTGTTGTTGTTGTTGTTGTTGTTGTTGTTGTTGTTGTTGTTGCTGTTGTTGCTGTTGTGATTGTGGCAGTGCGGAGGAGAACAGCTCATCCACAACGCTGTCCAGTGTGCGATGACGCGTGCTAACGCCCGCCGGCGCTGCTGTTGTAGTTGGCATTGGTGCTCTTGCTGCTGTTGCCTGTAGAGGTGTTGCTGCCGACGTTTGCTCGAGATGAGACAGTGCCATATTCATCAAAAGTGCGCGCTGCTGTGCCCACGCCGCCTGCTGCTGCGTCTGCTCCTGCTGTAGCCGTTCCACCGCCATTGCCACGTTCTTCGATCCGGGTGCACGTGGCATGCTGCCGGTGCTTTTGTTGCTGGTGCTGCTGTTGTTGGCGCTTTTGTTGCTGGTGCTGCTGTTGTGCTGCGCCTTGCTGGGCGTGATGTCTGTCTGAGTAGGTGCTGGCTTGCTCGACTGACGATGACCCCTGCCACCACGCCGTCGCACAGATGAGAGCAGCGGCTGGTGCTGCTGCTGCTGCTGCTGCTGCTGCTGCTGTTGTTGTTGTTGTTGTTGTTGTTGTTGTTGTTGTTCTCCTTCTTCTTCTTCTTCTTCTCCTTCTTCTTCTTGCTGTTGTTCTTGTTTCTGTGCGTCGGTTGACCTGGATGATGGCGGTCGGCGTGTTGCTGTCCCGGGACGCGCTCGCCCCCGCGTCCTACCACCCCTTACGCCCTCCTCTTCCTCCTCTCCTTCCTCCTCGTGCTGATGGTGATGGTGATGGTGGTCGTGTGAATGTGCTGGCGATTCAGATCCTCGCTCCTCATCTCCACCACTTCTGCCGCGCTTGCCGTCAGCGCTGGTGTGTTTGTCACCACCCCCAGCATCCCCGTGTGCATGTGTGTGCGTGTGTTCCGACCCGGGAGAGTGCTCGCGCTGTGTAACGGGCGCATGCATAGCAAGCTCTGCACCACTATGCTCATCGCCAACAGTGTGCACGTTATCGGGGTGTTGGTCAGGCTCGTGTTCGTGTGTGTCCGGGTGCTGGCCACCGGGGACATCTGCACCGGCCATCCCACGGATACGACCAGGGGATAGAGACACTGAACGTCGTCGCGGCCGCCCCATTTCCGACACCGTCGCGTCGTGGCGCAGCGCATCGGTAGCTCCGCGCTGACCGTGCTGTTGTTGTTGTTGTTGTTGTTGTTGTTGTTGTTGTTGTTGTTGTTGTTGTTGTTGTTGTTGTCGCTTGCGTTCGAGGGAGCGCGCGTGAGCAGCACCTTCCTCCGCGCGTACAACAGCAGCAGCCTTGCGTCTTTGATGCTGGTGCGCATACCCATGACCTTTGTCTTCATCACCTGCACCAGCCCTGTCGCCTCGAGGTTGCCCCCTGCCGCTCTGACGTCGTCGGCCACCACCATCATATCCTCCTCCTCCACTTTCGAGTTCACCACCGCCATCATCGTCGTCACTGTCGCTGCTATCTGCGGGGTCGATTGGGATGTCCTCATACGTTGCCGGCAGCACGTCGCTCTCACCGTCATCAGCAGCTTCGCCATCATGTGATTCGTCCTCGTGATGATGATCGTGATGATCATGATGATAGCGTTGGCGTTCGTGGTCATCGTTGGGCGCATTTGATGTCTTGACCACCGCGGCTTGAACAGGCGCATCTGCGATGTGTAACGTATCACTGCGCAAAACCAACAACAAGATGGGAACTGTGAGTGCCAGTGTGTGGTGCACACAAAGCACGTACACCCGCAAGCCCAAACCACACACAACACAATACACCAATGCAACACGCACACGCACACACACACGCATACGTACTCTGCTGGTGGCTGAAAATCAGAAGCGGACTGGGACAGGTGAAGGCGTGATCGATGTGCTGGCTGGTAGCTGCGCTGAGAGTGGCCATGCCGCGGCCGTGTGCTTGCGGCTGAGTTGGACGGTGCGGACGGGGTTGTTGATGTGCGGGCGTATCGATTTGCGGGGCGCGGAGGAGGGCCAGGCCGACCTGCTCGTGTTGCCGACCCCAACTGTTGGTATTGATGCTGATGCGGCTGCGGCGGTTGTGACAATGGTTGCGACTGCTGGTACCGTTGCTGTGGGCCCGCTGTCGCTGATGCCGAGAGTGCAGCAGTTGCACGCCTTGACGATGATGATGCTGACGACGCCGATGATGGTGGTAGCGGCTGTCCTCTTCTGCGCCCTTGGGTGTCCTCTTGAGTTGCCGCATTGATCTTGGCCATGGTCAGGTCACCGATGACGGTGTCGCCAAACTCGCGCTGCAGCTCCTCGACCAGCTCCTTTGTCGTCGAATTGCCGCTGCTGCGCGCAGCTCTGAACGATTCCGAAGGCGCCGACATCATTGCTTCTCAACGAAAGAACGAGGCAACGAGCGACAAAGACGAAGCAACGAAGCAGGAAGACACAGACAGGGAGACAGAGATGGCCAAACACAGAGAGATGGGGGGAAACGAACAGGAGGAGAGGTGGTGCCACGACAATCGCCGTCGTCGCCCACGTTGCAACTTCCTCCTCAACAACAACGTTCGCCTCCCGCTACCTGCTTCTTGTTGTTTGGGGCGGTTGTTGTTGGGGCGAAAATTTGGCTGGAAATATATGTGAAGATATGTACCAATCGCCAACAACCGCGATGGCTGGAAGGACAACGCTTCTTGCTGGGATGCTGGTGGTGGTGTTGCTGGTGGTGTTGTTGCTGGTGGTGTTGGTGGCGCCGCCTGCACTGGCGTCATCGTCGTCGTCGCCGTCGCCGTCGTCGTGGCAGTGCTGTGATGACGGAGCAAAGGCAACACTGGAGCAGGAAAGACACGAGGCTTTGGATGGGATGAGGGGTGATGCGGCAGCAGCAGTGCCATGGTGCAACTTTGCGCAGAAGTACACGACCTCTGAGCTGGTGAACGATGCCGGGAGACGGGAACAGTTCATCAAGGACGTCATGCATGCTGAGGGGAAGTTCCACCAGAGCGGCATTGCGTATCATCCAGTGACGGCGATGACCTTTGATGGGCACCTTATAGACTACGCGAGCGGGAAGCTGTATCCTGGAGGCCTGCACAACTTCAGCAGCGGCGCCAAGGATGCGCAGCATCTGTCGATCCTTGCGCTTGGGTTGGATGGGCAGCCACGTGCGCTTGCATACCTCAACAGCACGCTGAAACAACCAGTGTCCATCCAAGACATTCAATTACACGCCATGCACCTTATTGACCTCAAGCTGACAGCCCTCGAAAAGTGGAACGCCAGGTGTGAGTGAGTGTGTGAGCGTGCATGAGTGTGTGTGTATGTGCATGAGTGTGAGTGTGTTAATGAGCGTGTGTGAATGTGTGAATGTGTAAGCGTGTGTGTGTACTGTGTGTGTATGCTCTGTGTGTATGTGTGTGTGTGTGTGCTCTGTCTGTCTGACTGACTGTCTCTTCTATCTCTATCTATCTCTATCTATCTCTGTACTCTTTGTGTGCATGTGTGTGTGTGTACTTTTGAGTGCTCATTGTGGTGTGGATATGCGCTTCGTCCAGTTTCCCGGGATACGGCGGCTACCTGCCCTGGTTCTCGCACACGACCAACGGGGATCTCGTGCCAGCACCTGGCTGGTCCAACCCATATCGCGTACGCCGCCGCTGCTTCTGCTGTTGCCTCCTGATCGTGGTGCTGGGTGTTGTCGGTGTTGTCGGTGGTGGTTGCTGCACTCGGTGCAGCAACAACAGCAGCAGCAGCTATTGAACGCCATTGCTGCCTGACTGCCTGTTGTTTCGATGGAAGGCTGGCCACAAGTGACACAACACACATGCCAATGTTCGCTACTCTCTGGTCTGTAGGTGCCAGCGCTGGACAATGGGGAGTTCTACTGGGGCCTGTATGCCGTGGAGGTTGCTCTGTCCACATCATCACTCCCGGGCGCGGCTCCACTGGCAGCAAGATGCCGCCGATATTTGCGCTTGCTCCAAGACAACGCCGCCACCATCTTCCTTACACGTTAGTGGTGTGGTGTGTGTGTGTGTGTGTGTTTGTGTGCGTTTGTGCTTTTGTGTGTGTGTGTGTGGGTGTGTTTGTGCGTGTGTTTTTGTGTGTGTGTGTGTGTGTGTGCGTGTGTGTGAACTCTGGGTGCATTTATACTCTGTGCGTGTCTTTATGCAAAGGTAGAGGACGAAGGACAGTGTTTGCGGAGCCACCCATCCCCTCACATGATGCACATGTCACCGCCAATGCTCAGACGATGGCAAGACGCGGTGGGTGAGTGAGATTGTGGACGTAACAACTGTGCCAACACGCAGCAACTACCGTGGTTCCGGCGACTATGGAGATCCATTTGAGGTGAAACACGCTTTTCCAAGCCATTTAATGCTGCACTGACACATTGGATTGTGTGGCGCGCACATGGATGGGGCTGTTTTTGAACATACAAGCACATTTTGGACTGTGACTTGCATGGCATATAACATTTTGTGATGCGACGTTTTCTGTGTCACATGTGTGCATTGCGCAGGGTGAACTGTTTACGTGGGTGCTGTATTGGCACGCGCCGTGGTCAAAGCTGAACCTCTCACGTGATGATCTCTTTCTTCACAAGCACTCTTCCTTGCAAGCCGTCAACTTCACCACCAGCACAGGTCTGCTTGTGCAAGTGAGCGGCAGCAGTACTCGTGTATGTGTATGTGTGTGTTTGTTTGTGTGGATATGTTTGTGTTGTGTGAATATGTTTGTGTTTGTACGTGTGTTAGTGTAGATGTGTATGTGTGTGTGGTGTTTGTATGTGTGTTTGTGGCTGCAACACATCGTACAACGCACCCACCCCACCAACGACCATCACCAACTCCACAAACCCATCTCGCTCTGCCGCTGTCACGATGGCAGGCCAGCCCATTACCGTACAGCGTGGGTTCTGGTTCTCTTCCCACGAGCAGTGGAAGCTGCTTATGCTACCTTATCTGCATCTCCAACGCGTTGCGCGTGTGTTTGCAAACTGTGAGCGCGCCCGCACCGTCAACAGCGCCGAGAAACGAATCCCAGGCCTCTACGCATGCATCAACGACGTCACAAATGGTTTGTTTGTTTGTTTGTTGAGCTTGCTTGCTTTGTTTGTTTGTTTGTTTGTCTGCTTGTTTTTTTGTTCGTTTGTTTGGTTGTTTTCATTCCCTTTCGAGCACGGGTGTGTCTGCGCGATTCCACTTGCTATCATAGGTTTCTTCTGCTAACACGCACGTGCTCCTCCTGCCTCCCCCCTCCCCACTGCAGGAAGCGAGGCCATTCCCGATTACATTTCGTACACGGGCATCCCCTCGATCGCCATGGAGAACAGCACGATGTGGCGATATGACGTGGTGTGGAAACACAACGTAGACGCCAATTTGCGCTGCTGCCTGTCGTGCTGTTGTGGCGGTGTGGTTGATTGTGAGTACTTCTGCACGCACACACAACTCCCACGTTCACTGTCTTCACATTCACACACATGTGCAGGTGACACCGTATGCTGCGTTTCCCACAACACTCATCAACGAGACTGTCGGAGCAGCGTGGTACCACACCATGCTCCTCCCAAACAGGTGTGCATGTGTAAATGGCCGCTGTTTGGTGGTGCAATTATGTTTGTGTTACGTGTGTGGTTGTTGGTGGCGGTGACGTTGTTTTTGTACTGGAGTGTGCTGTATGGCGCAAGTTTGGTGGTTCACATGCACGCCACGCGCGCGCATCCCCACGTCGTCTTTCCCCTTGTCTTTGCCCCCGTGCAGAATGCAGGGCCCATACGGAAGCACAGAAGCCATCAACATCAACGGCACCGAAATCAGTCCGCTCCTCACGTGGGACGCCAAGTCCCTCACGTGCGTGACACACATATGCCAGTGTGCGTGTGCGTGTGTGTGTGTGCCTGTGTGTGTGTGTGTGTGTGTGTGTGTGCCTGTGCGTGTGTGTGTGTGTGTGTCATGGAGAACAGACAACTGCGGATGCTGCAATGCTTGCCTCACACCAAACAACACCACATACACACAATGCAGGCCGTTGGCGTTCATGGGTGGGGTTGCGGATGTGGTTGCAAAGGGGCTGAGACGAGACAACCTGTACAGCAGCTTCTTGAACGTTACCTCCAGCTACTACGCCTCTGCCTTTGCCACCCCCTTGTCTGGGGAGCACGTGCCATTTGCACTGCCGACTGCCACAGCACCAACAACGCCGCTCTCGCCTTTCACCGCCTGCCGCTGACTTGTCGAAAATTGTACAAAATACACATAATCGCCAAGACTCGACGCGCGCAGGAGCGGAAAAGAGGACACAGCCGCACAGCGTGCAAGGCGTGCGCACAACACACACACACACACACACACACACACACACACACACACACACACACACACACACACACACACACACACACACATATACATACACACACACACTCTCTCTCTCTCTCATACACGCACACACACGCAGGCACACAAGAGAAAGCGGGATGGCATTGGTGGTGTGTGAGGCGCGGCCGAGCGTGTGCAGTGGCCACTTGTTTGTGAGAGGGCCATCACACTTGAATGTGAACGTCGTGTCCCAAGATGGACGCCTTGCCGTGGTTGACACGCAGGCCGAGAGACAGCTGGCAACCATCGCTCTTCCACCGCATGTGAGGCCAAGCGGCCTCGAACGGACCCACCAGGATGAGCACACAAACACATCCACATTCAGGCTGGTCCTGCACCCTTCCGACACACCGTTTCACAGGAAGCCATCCAGCGTGTCTACGTCTGAAACACGCTCGTCTCAGCAGGTATGTTTGTGCTGCTCTGCATGCATTGGTGTTGAAGACGAGTTTCTTCTGTGCCGTTGAAGTGCAAACACTATCCTCCTGTGATGAAACACATCTCTACTCGATGCTGAGGCCCCATCGCACTGCACATTGCGCATGTCCCACTACTCATGACTCCGTCAACCCTTGACCTTCCCCCGTCTGCCATCAACCGATCTGAGCAGAAGGCGTGTGTCAAGTGTACCACGTGCAAAGCTGCAGTGAGTCCACCCTTGCAGCCGTATCGACTTCCTTCCTTGCGCTGGCACGAGATCCAGGACTTTGTCAACTGCTGCGAGGATGACCACCACACCCACGTTGATGTGAGGCTGTGTTGATCTTGCGACCCAGTTGCAGCTTTGTGCGCAATCCATGCGTGATGCCTTTTTATGCAATGGCAGCAACGACACGCACACACACATACACACGCACACACTTTCGCATTCACACACACGCATACGCACACGTACACGTGTACATACGTGCCCAGCAACATGCCACGAACGTGTATGTCGTGACCCTGACCCTGACCTGCGATGGTTGCAATGGCAGTTGAGTGTTCGGATCGGCGAGCACAGCGTGCTCTTTGACGATGAGCAGTTGCTGCTGCAACGTGACCAACTGATCACACATGACCGTCAGCCACTCGACACGTCAACGCTCAGCGACGAGGTGCGCCGTCAATCGCACACATATACACACAACTGTACATACACATCAATGAAAATG